AAAAAAAAAAAAAAGATTTTAAAATGAAATAAATCAATAAAAGGGTCAAGGATGAAGGACTATTAAAGAGTCTTTGATTTTATTTTGGGGTACATTAAAACGCACAAGGTTATAGGTTGCATGGTTGTCCTCCTTCTGTTTCCCTCTTTTATTTATTTATTTTATTTTTTGTCAGTCGTGGGGCTTGAACTCTGGGCCTGGGTACTGTCCCTCAGCTCTTCAGCTCAAGGCTAGCTTTCTTACCACTTGAGCCACAGCGCCACTCCCGGTTTCCTGGTGGTTAATTGGAGAGAAGTCTTGCAGACTTTCTTGTGTGGGCTGTCTACAAACCTCGATCCTCAGATCTCAGCCTCCTGAGTAGCTAGGATTACAGGCAAGAGCCAGCAGCACCTGGCTGCTTTTCTCTTTTCTTCTCTTTCTGCATACATCCATCTCCTGTGGGCTGGCAGTTTGCTCTCCTCCCAACTCTTTTCTGCCTGAACCATGTGGCATCTCCTTTTGGAGAACCTTGCAGTCTTATTTCCATTTCTTGGAGTTCATTTCGATAAACATCATTTTAAATGATCATTTGCACATAGATATTGAGCTTTTGTGATCCTTTCCTAAGAATATGTTCCTTTGGTCTCACTGTGTGAATGTCTAGAGTCCTGTACAATTTATCCTGTCCAAGTGTATTTTTTTTTATCCTTTACCATCCAGTGTGTCTACTTGTAGATTTATGGGCACAATAAAAAATGAGGGCAGGGCTGGGAAGGTGGCTCAGTGGTGGAGTGCTTGCCTTGTATGCATGAGGTCCTGGGTTCGACTCTTCAGCACCACATAAGCAGAAAAAGCTAGAAGTGGCGCTGTGGCTCAAGTGGTAGAGCGCTAGCCTTGAGCTGAAGAGCTGAGGGACAGTGACCAGGCCCAGAGTTCAGGCCCCATGACCGGACCCCCCCCAAAAAAAAAAATAAAATAAAATAAAGGAGGTGTGAACTGGGGCGGCAGGGGGGTGGGGGATGGGGGTATTCAGGAAGTGACCTCAGCGGATAAGGAGGCAACCTCAGAGTCTGGGGTCCTTTGCTTACTCCCAGTCAGATGATCATGGGTTGCAGGCAGGTGATTTTTGGTTAGGCTGCATGCTGTCTTTCCACAAAGAGGATGATGGGCGAGGGGGCTGTTCTTCCTGGCAGACATAACAAAGGTTTTTTGTTGTTGTTGTTCTTTGCTTTTTTTCTTCTCCTTTGTAGCTGTTTTTGTTTTCTCTTTCTTTTGTCTTGTATGTAAGTTTATCTAATTGGGGGAGGGTTAAAGGGAAATGGTGAGATAGGCTGGGCGCTAGGGGCTCACACCTATCATCCTAGCTACTCAGGAGGCTGAGGTGTGAGGATTATGGTTCAAAGCCAGCCTGGGCAAGAAAGTTCATGAGACTCTTATCTCCAGTTAACCACCAGAAAACCAGAAGTGGTACAGTGGCTCCAGTGATAGAGCACTAGCCTTGAGCTGAAAAGCTCAGGGAAAACGCCCAGGCCCAGAGTTCAAGCCCCATGACCAACAACAACAAAAAGAAATGGTGGGACAAAGGGTGAACAAATGCAGCAGTGCTACTCATTAGACTATGCAACTTATGGGTGGGCTTGGAGGGGAAAACTGGGAGAAAATGAAGGAAGAAGTGACACTATTCAAAAAGAAATGTACTCGTTACCTGACTTACGTAATTGTAACCCCTCTGTACATCACCTTTACATAACAATTTAAACAAAAATCTCAAGGTTGGCCAGGCACTGGTACCTCAGGCTTATTATCCTAGCTCCTCAGGAGGCTGAGTTCTCAGGATTACTGTTCAAAGCCAGCCCAGGTAGGAAAATCTGTGAGTCTCTTAGCTCCAATTAACCACCAGAAAACCAGAAGTGGAGCTGTGGCTCAAAGTAATAGAGCAGTAGTCTTGAGCAAAAATGCACATAGTGCCCAGTCCTCAAGTTCAAGCCCCACAACTGACAAAAAAAAAAAAAGCACAAGATGAATAGACAAAGATTTTATAATAGGAATAATATTTTCCCTTTTTGAATAGTTTTTTAGAAGAAAAAAGTTATGTACAAAGAAGTATACAAAGTAAGCCTAGCCATATAACCAGTACATAGCTAACAAAACAATGTTACCATAACATCATAACTCACACAACACTTTTCTTTCTTCTTTTTTTTTTTTTGGTCTGTCGTGGGGCTTGAACTCTGGGCTTGGGTGCTATCCCTCAGCTCTTCAGCTCAAGGCGAGCGCTCTATCGCTTGAGCCACAGCACCACTTCCGGTTTTCTAGTGGTTTATTAGAGATAAGAGTCTCACTGACTTTCCTTGTTGGGGCTGGCTTTGAACCGTGATCCTCAGATCTCAGACTCCTGAGTAGCTAGGATTACAGGTGTATGCTACTGGCGCCCAGCTCTTTTTGTTTTTTTTTTTCTCTCTCTTTTCTTTTTTTTTTTGGGGGGGGGGTCCGGTCGTTGGGCCTGAACTCTGGGCCTGGGCGCTGTCCCTCAGCTCTTTAGCTCAAGGCTAGCACTCCACCATGGAGCCACCTTCCCAGCCCCTTCCTTTTCTTTCTTTCTTTTTTTTTTTCTTGTCATTTGTGGGGCTTGAACTCTGGGCCTGGGCGCTGTCCTTGCATTCTTCAGCTCAAGGTGAGCACTCTACCGCTTGAGCCACAGCGCCATTTCCGGATTCTGGTGGTTTATTGGAGATATGAGTTTCACAGACTTTCCTGCCCGGGTTGGCTTTGAACCACGATCTCATATCTCAGCCTCCTGAGCAGCTAGGATTACAGGTGTATGCTACTGGCGCCCAGCTCTTTTTGTTTTTTTTTTTCTCTCTCTTTTCTTTTTTTTTTTTGGGGGGGGGGGTCCGGTCGTTGGGCCTGAACTCTGGGCCTGGGCGCTGTCCCTCAGCTCTTTAGCTCAAGGCTAGCACTCCACCATGGAGCCACCTTCCCAGCCCCTTCCTTTTCTTTCTTTCTTTTTTTTTTCTTGTCATTTGTGGGGCTTGAACTCTGGGCCTGGGCGCTGTCCTTGCATTCTTCAGCTCAAGGTGAGCACTCTACCGCTTGAGCCACAGCGCCATTTCCGGATTTCTGGTGGTTTATTGGAGATATGAGTTTCACAGACTTTCCTGCCCGGGTTGGCTTTGAACCACGATCTCATATCTCAGCCTCCTGAGCAGCTAGGATTACAGGCGTGAGCCACCAGCACCCGCCTACACTTTTCTTTTTAAGTCAGTCCCCTTCTGCCAGAGTTAACCACAGTCCTCGCTTCAAGCTCCATGGAGTATGTGTTTAAATTATCTTATTTTCCCATTAATCTGTAAGGCTATAGTGATCATCAGCCCAAGGCACGCTGATACATCTGTGTAAACACACACAAACACATACATACACAAACACACGTCCACACAGTTATTGCAAAGCCAGCCTCATGTTTATCCTTCTCTTTCCTCGTGTTGCAGGTGTTCCTCCTGATTCAAAGTGAGAAGATGAAAAATGATTACATTTACCTCAGTTGGTTAGCTCGGTGCTGTAAGTCTTCTTTTAAATATTCTTTCTTTTTTTTTTTTTTTGGTCAGTCGTGGGGCTTGAACTCTGGGCCTGGGCGCTGTCCCTCAGCTCTTGAGCTCAAGGTGAGCACTCTACCACTTGAGCTATAGTGCCACTTCCGGTTTTCTGGTGGCTTATTGGAGATAGGAGTCTCACAGTCTCTCTTGCCCGGGCTGGCTTTGAACCGCGATCCTCAGATCTCAGCCTCCTGAGTAGCTAGGATTACAGGCGTGAGCCACCAGCGCCCGGCTTTGGTGGTTTTTTTTCTTTTCTTTTTTTTTTTTTTTTGGGAGGGGGGTACAGTCGTGGGGCCTGAACTCTGGGCCTGGGCGCTGTCCCTCAGCTTTCAGCTCAAGGCTAGCGCTCTGCCACTTGAGCCTCAGCACCACTTCTGGCTTTTTTCTTTTTGCTTATGTGGTGCTGAGGAATCGAACCCAGGGCCTCAGGCATGCAAGGCAAACACTCTACCACTGAGCCACCTTCCCAGCCCTATTCTTTTAAATATTATAACAGGAATCTTCTTTTTGTTTGTATCTTTTTTTTTGTTGTACCAATCTTGGGGGCTTGAACTCAGGGCCTGGGCACTGTCCCTGAACTTCTTTGGCTCAAGGCTAGCACTCTACCACTTGAGCCACAGCTCCACTTCTGGCCTTTTCTGTTTATGTGGTACTGAGGGCTAGAACCCAGGGCTTCATGCATGCTACCCAAGTACTCTGCCACTGTCACATTCTTAGCCCCAAGCTTTTGTAGTTACAGAAAAATTTTAGGCTGGAACTTTGAAGAGATTGGCTGAATGGTAGGTACTTTCTTTTAAGAATATGGGCATGGTGGTGTATACCTGTAATGCTAGCACTTAGAAAGCTGAGACAGGAGGAGAGTGAATTCTAGGACAGCCTGTGCAACATAGTGAGACACTGTCTCAAAAATACTGTAAGGATAAATCTTTGTTTCTTTTTTGTAGATATCATGAATAAGAAACCAAGACTAGCCTGGGAACTTTATATCAAGATGGAAACCTCTGGTGAATCCTTTAGTCTCTTGCAGCTCATTGCTAATGACTGTTACAAGGTAATTTTGAGTGAGAGTAAATAGAAAAAGTGACAATCAGTGTCCCATTGATATATTGGCTAAGTATTAGGGAGAAGTATGCTAGATGCAGAGTAGCTATTGGTAAGGAGATTTGCATGATGATGTCAGAAATACCATTCTCTTTATGAATGATCTGAACTCAGAGATGGGCAGATTTCAGTTTTACCCAGCTATGAGTTTTAGATTTCTAAAGGCTATGAATTTTTAGTGGTTGAAACTGCAGATCTAAAACTCAGGAAAGAGTCCTGTTGATGTCTACAGATATAAATTAGGACTCATTACCAACATTTAAGTAGTAATCAAAGCCCTCAAAAGTAATGAGAGAGCTGGGTGCAAGTGGATAATGCCTATAATCCTAATTGTTTAGGAGGCTAAGATCTGAGGATCACAGTTCTAAGCCAAGCCAGGCAGCAAAGTTCACAATATCTTTTTTTTTTTTTTTTGGTCGGTCATGGGGCCTGAACTCTGGGCCTAAGCACTGTCCCTCAGCTCTTCAGCTCAAGGCTAACACCCTACCACTTGAGCCAAAGTGCCACTTCCAGCTTTTTCTGCTTATGTGGTACTGAGGAATCGAACCCAGGGCCTCATGCATGCAAAGCAAGCACTCTACCACTGAGCCACCTTCCCAGCTCCAGTTCACAAAGTATTATCTACAATTAACAACCAGAAAAAGCCAGAAGTGGTGCTATAGCTCAAGTCTTATAGATAGCACTAGCCTTGATTCAAAAAGCTCAAGGACAGTACCCAATTCAAGCCCAGGTCTGGCACACAAAAAATTAAATAAATAAAGCAAATAACCAGAAACAGAAGTGGAGTTGTGACTGAAGTGGTAGAATGTCAGCTTTGAGTGAAAAAGCCAAGCAAGAGGCCAAGGCACTGAGTTCAACCCTGGGTACTGGCACCAAATAAATCCAAGAAGTAGGGCAAACTGTCAAGAAGTAGAAGCTATCATGACAAAGAGGAGATAGTGAGGGGAGGAAAGATATTACATATATACTTCTACACATACATACCTATACATGTGTGTATATATAACACATACATGTATAATTATTTATATTTAAATCATTCATATAAAATCACCTTATATATATTCCTGCTTTATTAGTAAATGAAATTCAAGTTTCTAGCCAAAAATTTTGTCATTTCCATGTGCATTTATATATTTAAGTTAAATGTATATGTTTATTTTAAATGTTGAGTTGTTTGCATGAAACATTTATGTGTGTCATGTAGTTGTGCTTGTCTGTGTGCTTGGTACCATGATGTCTAATCTTTTGCGCGTAACTGTCAGCACACACTTGTTTTGTTCAGATGGGCCAGTTTTACTATTCAGCCAAAGCCTTTGACATCCTGGAGAGGCTTGATCCCAACCCTGAATACTGGGAAGGCAAAAGGGGCGCATGTGTGGGCATTTTCCAGATGATCTTAGCAGGGAGAGAACCCAAGTAAGTAATCCAACAGGCACTTCTGCCTCTCAATTTGCTGTTGTATAATGGACAATAATGTGTCCTTTGATGATATCTTTCTGTTGTTGTTGTAGGGCTTGAACTCAGGGCCTGGGTGTTGTCTCTGAGCCTCTTTGTGCTCAAGGCTAGTGCTCTACCACTTGAGCCACAGCACCACTTATGTTTATTGAGTGATTAGTTGAAGATAAGAGTCTCATGGGGACTTTTCTGCCCTGGCTGACTTGGAGCCATGATCCTCAGATTTCAGCCTTCTCAGTAGCTAGTATTACAGGTGTGAGCCATCAGTGCCTGGCTGATGATACCTTCTATAAACACGAAATTAGAAATCTGCTTTAGAATGATACAAAAAGTTAAAATGTTTAAGATTAGTATATGATCATTTTTCTTAAGAATTGTCTTTATTTTATGGAATAAAATCATCCTAAATTATATTTACTGGGAACATTGAGTATAGTTAAACTCAGAAATGAAAGGGCAAATTGTATATTTGGTTTCAAGTGAATATCCACTTTCATAAACAAAATGGTTTACACTCTTCTATTTTCTTTGCCTATTGGATTTTTTTTTTTTTTTTTTGCCAGTCATGGTGCCTGAACTCTGGGCCTGGGCATTGTCCCTCAGCTCTTCAGCTCAAGGCTAGTGCTCTACCACTTGAGCCACAGCACCACTTCCAGTTTTTTCTGCTTATGTGGTGCTAAGGAATTGAACCCAGGGCCTCATGCATGCAAGGCAAGCACTCTATCACTGAGCTACCTTCCCAGCCCAGCCTATTGGATTTTTTATGTGTGTATGTGTTACTTAGTTTAGACCTCAAAAAATTAGAGATAGCATGGATGTAGTTGATAATCCTGACATTTCATCCGTCTTATAGTCCAGAAAATTCTAAGCCATTAGATTATATAAAGCTCCATTTGAACAAAAATTAAAATACTTCAAATTCAGGCTCTAAAAATAGTTTCACATAATACATTTGTTACTAATGTATATGAATAAGAAATGTAATAATTTTTAAGCAAGTAATCTTACAACGATTACTTTCTGCCTTGTATCTACTTCCAATTCTAAATAAGTTTCAGAGCATTTAGTCAGGTAAAGAAAGTTGCTTATGCTAGGCGCCAGGCTCACTCCTGTAATCCTAGCTACTCAGGAGGCTGAGACCTGAGGATCATGGTTCAAAGCCAGCCCAGGCAGGAAACTCCGTGAAACTCTTATCTCCAATAAACAATCAGAAAACCTGAAGTGGCGCTGTAGCTCAAGTGGTAGAGCGCTAGCCTTGAGCTGAAGAGCTGAGGGACAGCGCTCAGGCTCAGAGTTCAAGCCCCACGACTGAAAAAAAAAAAAAAGAAAGAAAGAAAGTTGCTTATGCAGGAAAATGAAATAAAAACTATGAAAGGAATGTTAAGAAAGGGGAGCTGTGGGCAGCCATGTAGAGATCTGGCAAGCAAATAGGGATAGTTTAGCATGTAATACTTAAAGCTGGAGTTTTAAAATGTATTAAGGGCTGGGAAGATGGCTCAGTGGTGGAGTGCTTGCCTTGCATACATGAGGCCCTGGGTTCAATTTCTCAGCACCACATAAGAAGAAAAAGCTGGAAGTGGCACTGTGGCTCAAGTGGTAGAGTGCTAGCCTTGAGCTGAAGAGCTCAGGGACAGCACAGCTCCACAACCGACAAAAATAAATAAATAAATAAATAAAAATAAAATGTATTAAATTGGAATCATTTAAAACATAAATTCTAGCTGGGCGCTGGTGGCTCACACCTGTAATCCTAGCTACTCAGGAGGCTGAGATCTGAGGATCATGGTTCAAAGCCAGCCCAGGCAAAGAAAGTCTGTGAGACTCTTATCTCCAATAAACCACTAGAAAATGGGAAGTGGTGCTGTGTCTCAAACAGTCGAGTGCTCATCTTGAGCGCAGGGACAGCACCCAAGCCCAGAGTTCAAGCCCCATGACCAACCCCCCCCCAAAAAAAAAAAAATCTGAGTATTTACCAAATCTTAGTATTTGATGCTGTTCTCTTCCATCTGTATTATGTAGGCCTTTCTTGAATAAATTTCTTTTTGTTTTGTTTTTGGCTGGTCATAGCGCCTACCACTTGAGCCATAGCGCTACTTCTGGCTTTTTCTGCTTATGTGGTGCTGAGGAATCGAACCCAAGGCCTCATGCATGCAAGGCAAGCACTCTACCACTGAGCCACCTTCCCAGCCCTTGAATAAATTTCTTGATGAAATATTATGATACCCCACTTAAAATGGTTACTGGCTTAAATCTAAGACTCAGACAAATAATATGTCTTGTTAGTAATGTAGCTAGAATTTGAATCCAACTCACTAAGTCCAACTCCTGGATATTCTACTACTATTTTTATTTCTGCACCTCTTCCTCCTCCTTATCTTTTCTCCATCTCCTTATCCCCTTCTTTTTCTCCTCCTCCTCCTCCCCTCCCTCCCTCCCTACCTCTTCCTTCTCTCCTTTCCTCTTCCTCCTCCTCTTCCTTACCTTCTTGTTTCTTATTGTACTGGAGTAAGAACTCAACCTCCTGCTCATGGATGTACACTTTCTACCTTTTTATGCAAAATAAATATAGAAATAGGAATAGTTAGATGATCTCAAAAGAATAAAAAGATGGGGGAGATGGGGGGGTGGGAGATGGGAAGGGATGAGAAAGGGAAACAAAGGAGGAGGCAATGATGCTTGATAAGAAATGTACTCATTATCTTGCCCATGCAATTGTAACTCCTCCATACGGTATTTTCACAATAAAAAAAAATAAAAAGATGAATAGTATGTGTAGATAATATTGATAAGGAAAACTTGGGTTGACAGGATGGATTGCACAGAATTTCCATTTTGTACTGCCAATACCAGAATAGAAAGCTAGGAAGGTTGTAGTTGGATTGTGAGTACACAGTAGAGGAATCTATTACTCTGCCTTACAAGAAGTACACTTACAGACGGGCGCCGGTGGCTCACGCCTGTAATCCTAGCTACTCAGGAGGCTGACATCTGAGCATCACGGTTCAAAGCCAGCCTGGGCAGGAAACTCCGTGAGACTCTATCTCCAATAAACCACTAGAAAACTGGAAGTGGTGCTGTGGCTCAAGCAGTAGAGCACTTGCCTTGAGCTGAAGAGCACAGGGAAAATACCCAGACCCAGGGCTGGGAAGGTGGCTCAGTGGTAGAGCACTTGCCTTGCATGCCTGAGGCCCTGGGTTCGATTCCTCAGCACCACATAAGCAAAAAGAAAAAAAAAGCTGGAAGTGGTGCCATGGCTCAAGTGGTAGAGCACTAGCCTTGAGCTGAAGAGCTGAGGGACAGCGCGCAGGCCCAGAGTTCAGGCCCCACGACAGGACCCCCAAAAAAAAAAAAGAAAAAGTACCCAGGCCCAGAGTTCAAGCCCCACAATCGACAAAAAAAAAAAAGAAGTACACTTACAAATTTACAAAGTTACAAATTACAGTACAGTAATAAAGTACTGCAAACTCTACATCAAACTGCTATAAGTTAATAAAGTGTGAACGTTGTGCATACTGTACTTTATACAGTTACAAAGTTATACATTAATTTTGTCAATTTTTATTCTTTATTGAAACGTTTTGCTATTCCAACCTTTTTCTCAGAGAGACGCTTCAAGAAGTTCTCCATTTACTGAGAAGCACAGGTAATACCCAAGTAGAATATATCATCCGAATCATGAAGAAATGGGCCAAAGAAAACAGAGTGTCTATCTGAAATAGCTCCGAGGTCTAAGCCTAAGGATCAGCTTCAACTTTGACATAACATTGGAAAACATTTTCCTGAAATTGAATCAAAGATACAGGGCTCTACTTGATTGACATGGACCATCCTTGCTCAAGACCTAAGATCAGTGACTGACTTGAGACCTAGGTCCCTGACCTAACCAAGTACCATAGTCTGTGCTGTGGCCCTGTTATGATCCTACCAGCAATAAGTCATTGGATTTACTTGGTGCCTTTCTTCAGAGTACTGTCATGTAATTTACTGACATTTCTCTTCTTTTCATGTTAGGATTTCATGGTATTGTCTCCTAGTGCAATAAGTGACTTTGATGATAAAGAATCACTATAATTTTGTCATCTTACCATCTCTCATTTCCAAACATTATCCTGTTTGTTTGTTTGTTTGTTTTGAGGGAATTCCATAAAGAGTTTTATAACACATTTCTGAATTTTGGGAGAACAGGATTTTCATTAACTAGCCGTGTGACACTAAGGATGGCCAGAAGATTCTCGATCAAACTGTCCCGCCCTCCCTAGAAAAGATGACTGCGGGGTTCCACTCTCTCAGAAATTGATTGTCCATGATAATAATGTTAATGTTACAGTAGAGTCAAATGAGTTCTGCGGTTTTTTAAAAGGTAAGTACTATGAAAAAAAAATCGTGTAATGTCTCTAAAGGAATTCATGAAACAAAGTCTACAAATCTCATTAGTCATCTCTTCAGTGTGTTTAGGTAACCAAGATAGTTGGGTTTCACTATATCTGCTGAGTAAGCACACATTTTGAAACTAGGGATACCACATTTATATGTAGTTACCATAGGCACTTATTCCTGTGAGTCCTACTGGGATGGTGGCCTCTTGGAGACCTCCTCATGGCTGGACTTCAGTATGGTCGCTGAGCTCTCTTAACATACACCTCCTCTACAGCTGAGCATTCCTAGGCTCATAGCCTATTTTCAGGAGATGGATCCATGTCCATCTACACATTAATTACCTTTGTTTCTATATCATATAATTTTCATCAGTTTAATATACCCACTGTGACATCTAGAAAGTGTGCAGCCATCCCTATCCACCATAAAATGGATGTGAATTCCTTGAGGCAGTCACGTCAGAAGAATTCTATTCTTCTATTGCATTAGTTTTTCCTCTTGTCCCCAGCATCCCCCTGGGGATGGCAGGGTCCTATAGAATGGCAATGGGCATCCAGCCAGACTCAGAGTAGCCTAGGAGAGACAGAGGCCACTGAAGATAACCTTACTTCTGGATGGTGGTAAGGGTCCTTCTCTATTCAGGAAGATGGCCAGGCTGCTTACGTTTTATATTCCATTCAGATGTAATCATTCTAGAGCACAAATCAAGATCAACTGGCCAGGCTGGGAAGGTGGCTCAGTGGTAGAGCACTTGCCTTGCATGCATAAGGCCCTGGGTTCGATTCCTCAGCACCACATAAGCAAAAAGAAAAAAAGAATCATTCCTGTAAAATTTTACCTTGCTTAAAACATTGGGCAACACAATAATGGGAAAGACCGACAGATCTCCTCAGTAGCTTTTGGCAATTAAATTTGTCTTCCAATGAATTGCTATGATTTTTAAATTTTCTTAACTTGCAAAGATTTTCCACTAATGGTGATTTACTGTTAAATGAGTTTTTATTGAATTTAACAATTTACTATTCATCCTGACATTTTCTTGTCTTTTAGTGGGGAAAAACATATTCCAAAAAGTAGCAGAATCTTAGGCTAATTTTTTTTAAAGCTTTTAGTCTATAAGGTTGAGCCAGAAACATACAGATTCATTTAAATAGAAGTATATCCCATTCTATCATTCTATCATTAAGGGAACTGCTTCTGAATTTCTTGTAAGTGTTTAAGGCTGCAGGTTGTCTTCTCCCATGTGGTAATGGGAAGAGAGGAAAGTCCGGGCTTAGGAATGTAATATGATGTATATAGTTTATATCATCAATGTACTATTTATAGCTTGAAGCATACATTACTCGCAAATGGGAAACAAACTCTTTTGCAATTATTTTTGTACCTCAAAATAATTATTACACACCACTGTATCATATTCCAATTAAAGTTTATTACTTGGTTTTTACCATGGCATTCTGTTTCATGTGTTAAGTGAAGGACCTTGGTTATGTCATGAGCCATCTCCCTTACTTTCCTGGCACTAGAGTGAAGGTAGGAAAAGAAAAGTTTTGAGCCCCACAGATTACTATCCACAATAGAGGAAAGTAGATATTTCCTAAGAAGCTTTTTCCACTAAGAGCTGGTGAATCTAGGTTTGGCTCTTTGCTGAATTACAGTCTGCTCAGAAGTTGTATGAGCAGGACATAGCACAATGCCTCACATATAAAACACTCTTAATTACTTGCTGGCTAAAGAACTACACATTTGATAACTAGTGGAGCAAGGGAGTTGAGAGATCAGACTTCATGGATCTAATGATCATTGTGTTGTGTGCTAAGCCTATGCAGGGTACAGCAGATGTTAAGAGAACTAGTGCACAAGCCTGGCCCTTGCAAAGTCAGTCTGATAGCTGGATATAGTACGTGATTTATGTCATCATAAATGACAGAAGGCTGTGGGCTGGATGTCAGGGGCTCACATCTGTAATACTAGCTACCCTGGAGGCTAAGATTAGAAAAATATGGTTCAAAGCCAGTCCAGGTAGAAAATTTCACTAGTCTCCATCTCCAAAATAACTAACCCAAAAGCTAGACGAGGCTAGGCACTAGTAGTTTATGCCTGTAGTCTTAGCTACTCAGGAGGCTGAGTAGCTAGGAAGGCAAGTTGGTAAGATTTTTATCTGCAACTAACCACCAAAAAGCCAGAAGTAGAGGTGTGGCTCAAATGGTAGAGTGCCAACCTGGAGGAAAAAAAAAAAGACCCTAAGTTCAAGCCCTGTTATCAGCCCCAGACTAAAAAAGCCATATGAGGGGCTGGGAAGATGGCTCAGTGGTAGAGCGCCTGACTTGCATGCCTGAGGCCCTGGGTTTGATTTCCTTAGCACCACATAAGCAAAATGAAAAAAGCTGGAAGTGGCGCTGTGTCTCAAGTGGTAGAGTGCTAGCCTTGAGCTGAAGAGCTGAGGGACAGCACCCAGGCCCAGAGTTCAGGCCCCACAACCAGACCCCCCCCCAAAAAAAAAGCTATATGAATGCTGGTGGCTCCAGCCTGTAATCCTTGCTACTCAAGAGGATAAGATACTCAGATTGTAGTTCAAAGCCAGTCTAGGCAGGAAAGTCTATGAGACTCTTGCCTCCATTTAACTACTAAAAAGCTAGAAGTGGGGCTGTGGCTCAAGTAGTCACACACTAGCTTTGAGCAACAGAGCTCAGGGACAGCACCTAGGCACTGAGTTCAAGTCCAGGACTACCACCACTAACAGAAAGCTAGAATATAGGCATAGTTGAAGAGGTAAGAGTGCTAGCTGAATGAGCAAGCCAAGTAAGCATGAGGCTCTGAGTTCAAATGCTGGTACTGGTAAAAAGGAAAAGGGAAGAAGAGGAGGAGGAAAAGGAAGAAAGCAGCAGTGGGGAAGGAGGAAAGAGAAAGGTAATGCAGTAGGGCCAACTGTGGACCATCTATCACAGGAGAACACAATTTATAAGTTGCAGATAATAAGGAGTAAATACCTTGCGAGGCTAATCTCAGGTAAGAGGGCTACATTTTATGTAATTTGCTTATATTTTTTGTATATTCACATATTTACTTGGTCAATTACATCTCACTGTGTTCAAGAAGGGATTTTCTCAGAAAATTAAAAATGTAAAAGCCAACAGGACAATAAATATACAGAAATATATACCGGATCTGGGCGCTAGTGGCTCATGCCACTGAGGATCATGGTTCAAAGTCAGCCAGCCCAAGCAAAAAAAGTCCTTGAGATTTTTATTTCCAGTTACCCACCAAAACTAGAAATGGAGCTATGGCTCTAAGTAATAGAGCACTAGACTTGAGCAGAAAAGCTCAGGGACAGCTTTCAGGCCCTAAGTTCAAACACCATAACTGACCTCTCCCTCAAAAAAGAAGTATATGCCAGGAGCTGGGAAGGTGGCTCAGTGGTAGAGCGCTTGCCT